AAAAACAAAATAAACATTGGGTGGGTGTGAGTGGGGCGGGGGGGGGGGGGGCGGAGGCGGGCTTGGCCGCTTGGGGGTTGGCGGTGGTACGTGGAGGGTGCGTGAGGGATTTTCGGCAGTTCGGGAGAGCAGGGGTGTCACCGTGTCGGTCCCTGCGCGTCCAGGGTTCTGGGATGTGTTTGCTGGGGTACGGGCTGCAAAGTGGTGGGGGCTTGCGGTGGGGTTCCGGGATCCAAGGCATCGGAGAGGGCCCTTTTTTTAGCATTTTTTTTTTTCTTTATCGCCAGCTTGCACTTTGTCGTGTCCGCAGCCCCGAGCCTGCGTTGAGTTGATCGCCTGTCACGCGGAGTCCGCTGGCATTCAACGGACATTCAACGGGGATTCAACGCCGTTGAATGTATTCAACGGGGGTACAACGGGGGGGCTTCCTGATTTTTTCGCCCCCACGGGCTTGGGCGCGTGTCCGCGGCCGTTTGCGACCAAACCGTTGTTCGGGTTTCAACGGGAAGCCCCCGTTGTTCCGTTCAACGGGGATTCAACGGGACCCCCCGAGGGGTACAACGGGTACAACGGAGTTGAAAAAATCCCGTTGCCCGTTGAACGGACACATAGCACGTGGAAGATGAGAATCTCTTCCACATTGATGGTACTCCTGATCCAGAAGTGGACATTCCAGATGAGCTAGCAGAGCATGATCCTCCAAGTGAGGAGGGGCCTCATTGTGATGACAATGTGGGTTGGTCGTTTCCTGAAGATGAGTGTCGTGAAGCAGCTGTTTTGGACAGCGATGAGCATGGTCGTGGGCAAACTGGGGTAGTGGTGAGATCCCTGATGCATCTCCTAACCATGTTTCCATAGGCCAGCCTGCTCCAAGTTTTGGAAGTAGGGATAGGTGTGGCCAGGCAAATGGTCACCCTACATTGGCATGTGCACGAACTGCACAAACATCTCAAGAGGGCCGGCGGGCAGGACGTCCTAGGAGGGTTTTGCCCCAACATATGAGACGAACAAGAGTTATGGCACAATCATCTATACCGGCACTGCAGCAAGACTCTCAGGGTGTTCAAGATCTAACTCAAGAGGATCCTACTAGCGGTCAAAGTGTTTATGAGGATGCCGAGAGTAGTGATGTGTACAATGCATATGATTGTGGCGATGGCGACGATGATGGTGAGCAGGCAGATCCACACAATAGTATTTTTCGCCTCCATATAAACGATATCATAACACAAGATAACACAAACCATGCAGGTTGGTCTCTTCCCCATGTATCACATGTGCAAGGTTCGCCCACTCCCCTTACTGCAGATACTGGTGTGCAAGGAGATGAAGACGTGGTTGTCACTGTTCTTCAACAAGGAAATGGACACTTGCAAACGATCTCATGGGAGAGGCAGGTTGTTTGCAACACGAGCCAACGAGGACGACCTCGCAAAGGAGTTCCTCGAAAAATGCCATCACTCGACTCTTCCATGAATAGTTGCATGACGTGACTCGTCGATAGGTTATTTCAACTCATTTCTAGTTTAACAGTAGGGTATATTGAAAATATTGATGCAAGAATCAGTTTGGTGCTTTCTTATATTGTTTTGGCCCATTTATGACCTTTTTAATATTTTCGTTTTTTTTTATAGATTTTTTCTGCAATTGTTTTTGCTTTTTACAGATTTTTTGTTTTTCCCATATTTCATTTGGACAGGATGTGCCTTTCTAGATATTATTTTGTCCGAACAGGCTGTTTGCCTGTTTGGAGCAGTGGAGCACTGTGTCTCAACAATCTGGCCTATTTTGGGATTTGGCCACTAGGCCCAGTTGCATGTACCTGGGCTGGTTTTCAATTCACTTGTTGATAGGCTCTTGGCTAGCAGTGCCATTCGGAAGTAGCAATGCGAGGTGTAGTTAGTGTTTGAGAAGTAAAAGGTAGAGTAAGCAGCTGGGAGATAGTTTTCAGCAACATTTGGGAGGAGTGTAGCCTGGGAATACTACGGGCAATGGCTGGCTCTTCGCTGCACATCCTGCAGCAGTTGAGATGCCATCTACATCTGGTAGTATAAGGTACATAGGGGGAGAGAGAGAGAGAGGTTTTTGTTCTTCTTCTTGTACTACTACTACTCTTTCTTCTACTCTTCTTTTTGTTTTCCCTCCTTCCTCTCCTTTCCTCCTCTCATCCTCATCCCGTTCTCCCTCCTTTCTCCATCGCTCTTGTTTTTTCTTTTTTTCTTTTTTTTCTCTTCTGCCTAAGGTTTGTTTTGGAGTTGGGTCTCCTGGCAGAAGCAAGTTGGCAACAGATGTGCCATAGGCTCCTGCCCATTGTGGCTAAAAGATTCCAACCCCCTCCTGAGTTAATGCAGCAAGGTAACGCTGCTGCTGAAGTCATATTTTTCTTTCCAGATTCTTGCATTTGTTTTCACCCACCTAATTTTCCCAGGAAGGGGCCACCTTGCCTGCCTGGCTCGTAAGAGTCCTGCCAAGTGAACAGCCTGAAATAGCCGTGAACTTGCTTTTTTGCGGTAACTTCAGTACAGTAACAAAAACGGTTTCAAATTACACTTCAGGCATTCCCCCGAACATAACACACCCCCACACCCCCATGCAACCCTACGTGATGGGCAGGCTAGGTTGTATACATTGCCCAAAGTGCAATTTGGAACTGTTTTTTGCCCAAACTGTGGGGGTGGATATGAGTGGAGGGGGAAGGGAATCTTCACTAGGCTGCTGTGGGAATGTCCTTTCTTGGGATATGGGTGAGGAAGGGTGCGATGTCTGGGAGGGAGAACCGGAGGGACTCGAGGGGGATGGGTGAGGAGGATACGAGTACATTGGGTACAAGTGAGAATATGCCCTCACAACGGGCAACCCTCAGCAGTTGTACCAAAAAAAAAAGAAGCAGAGGGTTCTGGGATTTTCTTAATAGCATTTGGTTGCGTGCATATGGTATGACAAATTTTTGGTCATATGATTTAATTATTACAAGTAGATTGAGTAAAGAGCTGAACAAACAACAGACAGGTGAAGTAGCACACTTCTTTAGACTTAGGGTTTTCTGGTCACTTTGGTTGGCCAGGAGAGAGGGAAGATTCATGGGACTTCAACCTTGTCTACCTTCTCTGATCTGTACCTTCAAACACTCTTTAGAGTCTTTACGGTTATATATCATGTCTGATTTGATCAGAATCAAGCACAATGCCCGCTTCTTGGAAACAGCCACGGATCAATTCCAAAAAGTGTGGTCTTCTCCTTTCAAATGGGCAGAAGTCATCAAAGAGTCTAAGATGACATATTATGATCTCCTCTGTGATCACCCACCACTCAGGTCTTGCTTTCGACTCCTACTTGACAGCTAGTTGCTGAGAGGGTCTATCTGTTCCCACTTCCTATTTCTATACTTCAAGTTCTGCTTTATAACCAAACTTTTTTAGACCATTGTCCAGATCTATAGTTCTAGCTAAGCAAGCCAGGCAATATTCCCAGACTACTCATTGTTGTATTGCTTCATTGCACTCATTCTGTTTATAAGGGATGTTGGACCCGGTTTCCAGCCGTTGCTACTCCCCACCAAAAGATTGGAGTCATCCACCCAGGTGCGTCAATCCTGTTGGTTCTCTTACCACCACA